TGTATCAAGTTGCTATAGCGTTCACTTTATGCATTTTAATACCAGGCTAGTAAAATTTCTGATTTTAATAAATTCTGTTTATTGAATGACGAATTTACTTATTGGCAAAAATAAAGAGGTTGAAAAAATTCTGTCCTAAATTTAAAAATCTATATCAATAATTTTTCGTTAATTCTATTAATTCTGCCTATTCGTGAATTTATACCTCAACCTTCTTTGTCAAGAATTTATGTACAAGGGCAAATCCTAGATAAACGCTTTGTCCTACGTGGGCGACAAAAGCGCGCGATTTGGGCGATTCGACCGACACGTGTTTTTTCAAACGTTTTCTTATGAAACCGTCCAATGCAGGCAATGCAAGACACTTTCATAAGCATAGATAATAGAGCTAATTTATAAATTTCATAAGAAACTATTCATTTTTCATAAGAAAACGTTTTTTTGATAACGTCGCGTCGCTCGCATCGCCCCATTCGCGCGCTTTTGTTGCCCACGTAGGACGAAGCGTAAGGAAAAAGCGTTGAGTATGGATAATAAACAAGATAGTACTTACAACTATTGCATTACACAATTCCAAGCATACCAAGTAAAAAATGTCATTAGCATAAATTACTAGAAATTTCTGGAAATGCACGATAAAGTTGCACACGTTTAGAGTAAGCGCTTCAACCTAACCTAATTCTGGCAATTTCATGCATGCATCATTTCATCAACAAAGTTGCAGCATCAAAATGCACAGGTGGGAACCACCCTTTATAGATATTAAAACTTTATACAGGGTGTTTCAAAAAACATGTGCCATCTCTTGTGGGGAGATTCCTCACGTAAAAATAAGATTTATGGGTTTATCACTGGAATATTTTTCAAAAAAAATGTGTGCGCCACTGTCTTTTTTCTTTTGATATCAAAATTGTGTAGGCCGTTTGATACTGTTATCGATACCTCCCTAATTTAAATATAAAAAGTTGGCAACCCCGGAAGTGGCAACAATGTGAAAAACCTGTTATTAAGAAAAAGAGTCGCTTACCGGCTTCCGAAGACATCGTCACGGTCACGACAAAAAAAGAAATAAAAGGTGGAATTTTCGAGGCGAGCAGGAGGTATCCATGCATGCGTAATAGTTTTATTTCCTAGGTAAGATACCCTTTTTAATCCATATAAAATTCAAACTTAGGTCAACAATTAGATTATCGATCTCGTTAGAGCTAGCCGGTAATAGGTATCTAATATCAAAAATTAATAATAAAAAAACTGAGACCGATAACAATACCAATTAAAAGTCATCTCTTGATATTTTGTCGAATTTGACCTCCTTGATGAGATAAAGCAATTTTATCACAATTATTAAAATTAAAATAAAAACAAAATTAATAAATTATTTATTTAAAACCATTTCAAAAAGTTTTAACATCCCTTTTAACATCCTACAACTCTAAAACTATGCATTTCCATACTAGGAACTTTTTTCATATACAGTGCAATCGCGATAATATGAACAAGCAGTCATATGAACCACTCCGTAATATGAACACAACACAATAATTTTTCCACTGACTACTCTATAGTATTAACAGCCTGAAATCTCGGTAATATGAGCAACTTGTTAGATCTTGTTTTTTCCTATTTTTTGTATGTTAGAGAGCTTCAAATTCATTGTTATTTATGTAACAGAGGTAAACGCAGCTAGTTTCCTAAACAGAATCTATAAAGTGTTTAATAACTCTTTAACAGTAATAATTTAAAATGGTTAAAGTGAAAGGCAAATCAAAATGTCTCTCTCTTCATGAGAAAGCGAAACTTTTAGAAGATGTTGATAAAGGGTTAGGCATGACGCTTTTAGCAAAAAGTACGGTATTGCCAAATCAACAGTGTGTTTAATTAAAAACAAAAAAAGAAGAATTGTCGAAAGAGTTGCAAATTGGGCGTATAAATTAACAAAAAAATGCACATTAAAAAAAGGAGAACTTCCGGAAATGGAAAAACTGCTTTATAAATGGTTCCTTGCACAACGTGAGAGAAATATGCCAGTTTCTGGAGAGATGATAAGGCAAAAAGCTTTGAGTATAAGTTCCAGTTTAAACGTTAGCAGCTTTAAAGCAAGTGATGGGTGGTTACAACGGTTTAAAGAACGGTATGGGTTAAGATTTTTAAACATAACCGGAGATTCAGCCAGAACTTATTAATCCATTTAAAGAAAAACTAAAAATGGTGATTGAAAAATATGAATAAAATGAGCACCAGTTGTACAATGTTGATGAAACTTCATTTTCACGAATAGTTACATTTTTGCCAATGCCTTAGGGTCGCAAAAAATAAAACCATTACTCATCGGTGCTCAACTGCAAAAAAATTCTATTAACTAATTGTTCTTCTATGTCTTTTTTATGGTTAACTATGTGCATATTTAATGCTGTCGCTGTAATTTTTTCAGTTCTGTCAATTTTATCATAAACACTCTTAAAATAAGCTACTCCTTGATTAACTCTTTCGTAAACGTTGTTTGCGAAATCTTCAAATTTTGTTTTAATATCATTTTTAAGATTTCTTTCGATTGATTCAATTTGTGATGTATCGTTAATGGCATCTTTAATTTGTTCTATTTTTGTTCTATTATCATTAAATTGTACAATTTTATCTTCATGTTTTGTAATTTTTTCATCAAAAAACTTAATTTTCTTTGCAAAATTATTATTGTTTGATTCATTTTCACTTAATCTCTTATTTGTGTTGTCTATACTACCTTGAAAATGTTCAATTACTTTATTTTCAATATAGTTTACATCTGTCTTAAACCTATTTAAAATTTTATTTTCAACATTTGATAAGACTGTGTCTTCCAAGGTTGTTGTATTTACAGTGTTACGTTTAGAAATATGACAACCAAATTTATCAATAGACATGGTTTGATATTGGTAAACAATTGATTTGTCTATAACTATCAATTCTTATTTATAGTATAACTTTAGCTTCCCTTAATTCCTCAATTATAGATAATATTTCATTGTTGTGGGCTGTATTGCCAGCATCTGTAGATGATAGTAAAAGACGAAGTCGATCCACAAGTTCATTTATATTATCCCAATACACATAATCTGTATTTGATTTGTTTATTTTTAAAGTTAAACCTTTCCCTTTCTGGACAGCAGTCGTTCTACTAGTTCTAAATGGTGCTTTCGGTTTAGCAAAAGCTTCAGTCAACCTTTCCAATGGTGTTATTGTTTTAGTTTTTGTAATACCCTTTCGTTGCAAGTAAGGTCCAATTATTGTTACATATTTATGTGAACTATTTCCTTGCACTTGCTCGTTGGGATCAACATTTCTACGATATGCATTAGTTCTTTTTAATATGTCCATATAATTTTCTAAATCTTCATTTTTATATCCAACAGGTTCTTTTTTAAAAAGTAATTCCGTAACCGTTCCGGGATATTTTATACCTTCCACATGAATATTTTTACCAATTATTTCCACAGGTTTTTGTGTTAAACCCAAAAAAAATTATCTCTTTCGAGATCATGCACTATTCCATAATTATGATCAAACTTAGACTTTGTATCTCTCACACCTTCATCTATATATGTTCTTGGTAATTCGTGGAAAGCATTCAACCAATCATCATATCCCGAAAGTAGGGGTAGAAGGCCGATTCTGCATCAGGAGGAGGAGGAGCAGAGGAGGGAGCGTACAGCGCATGCGCTAGGAGTGGGGGCACCTGTCAAATGTCAAACGTCACCTGTCACATGTCAAATGTCAAACGTCAAACGTCAAACCTGTCTTACGTCATCTGTCAAACGTCATCTGTCAAACGTCAAACCTGTCAAACGTCATATGTCAAACGTCAAACGTCAAACCTGTCAAACGTCATCTGTCAAACGTCAATCTGTCTTACGTCATGCCTATTATATACAGGGTGTTAATGAACCCGGTAATATATTGTTTTTTTCACACCTGGTATATATTCCAAAAAAAATCTTTCCATGTTCTTTTTAACACAGATGATAATTTTTAACGTTTGACGATTGAGTTTTAATTACTAATGCCTTTTGGGTATTCATAAATAATAATATTTATTTAAACGGTAAAAATAAATCAAACTTGGCTCAAAATCAACGATGAAAGAGAGAGCGATGTGAACAAGACAGTGGTTTATAGTAAAATGACCTAATACTTCAATTTTTACGACTTCCTCTCATGATGTCATGCTTTTGTTTTTCTAGAAAATTTAAGATCAATTTTTATGATAAATATTTAAGTAAAATAAAATAAATCAAACTTGGTGCAAAATACATTGTGCAACAATTATTCCTTATCGGAGTTTGCGGTTAGTATTATTTTTAGTTGGACTTTGCAGTTTCCGGTATGACGACTATGGTGTCACGCATTTGTTTTTCTAGAAAATTCTAGATCAATTTTAACGATAAATATTTAAGTAAAAATAAAATAAATCAAACTTGGTGCTAAGACATTGTGTAGCAACTAGCGCTTATCAGTTTGCGGTTTTCCGGTCTAGCATTGTACCCAGCAAACAACTCGCAATTCATGACAGTCTCTACTTGCCTCTCGTCGAAATTAGTCGATTCGTCCTATAAAAAATAAAAAATGTTTCTATGCAGCATTTGTGGGAAAGTGTTTACCAGGAAAGATAACCTGTCCAGGCATATGAAGAGATGCGCTAATGGTGAGTTTTTATTTATTATTTATTTTTCAAAATTTTTCTAAATATAATTGTTTTTAGTTAAACAAACTGTGGGAAGTGTTGCGCCCCAAACCAACGCGGACTTTGGTGTTGGCCCTAGTAAACGTAAGTAAATATTTTTATTTTTATGTTCTGATTTAAAAACGCTTTTTTATTTTAGATACGTGCGAAAAATGCTTGAAAGCATTCAGCCGAAAGGATAATTTAGGTAGGCATATGAAGATTTGTAAAGGAACCCCAAGGTTAGTTTTTATTTTATTTTTTATATTGTGTAATATTAAATGGTTTTTTCTATTTTATTTTAGTCAATCTGCCTGAACCAAAAAATTTAGAGACGGTATCCCTGAAAAGAACGAGCTCTGCCACTAACAGTAAGTAATTATATTTTTTTTCCATTATTTTAAAACTAATTAACTATTTAATTATTTTTTAACATATTCAACTATTATTTCTTAACTTTTTTTCAATTATTTTAAACTAATTAACTATTTAACATATATTTCTAGTATTTTTAACAGAAAGCACCTATTTTATATTAAATATTTTTTTTCTTTTATTTTAGTCGATCAGGCAGAGACAGAGTCTTCGGCGCCAAAGAGAGCTAGACTTGGTTTCCATAACGGTAAGTTATTATTATTTTTTTATTGCTTAACACCTTTTAAATTAAAATGTATTTTTTTAGAACACTTGGTAATGCAGGAGGAAGGTGTTTACCTCGTAAATACCGCATATAAAAACCGAATTGCTACATACCGGCTTTTATCAAATAAAAACATTACCAGCGTTAATGATTTTTTATCTAATCTCCGTGAAAAAATCATTGCGGTGGTAAGGTGCCAAATCGAGAGGTTTGGAACCGTAAAAGCTGGTATGGAGTTATTCGGTCGCTTCCTCCTGCAGACAAAGGAGGTGCAAGAGACCAAGTCCTTTGGCTGCCGATTCAAGGAGGTAAGCCAAGGCACCGATTTGGAGGAGCTGTTTGATCAGTTCGCCACTATCATTAAGCGGAGATTCCAGGAGTTCAATGAAAAAGATAGTGGTAAGTATATATTTTTTCTGTTTTTTCATCATACTAATTATTTTTTTCGTGTACATTAGGTTGGACTCTTCAGCAACTCCTCCACGTAGATGTAAGGGTAAATAAAATCAACCCACTAAAAGCCTCATCTTACATACCATTACCGAAGGAAATAGAAGCGAAAAGGGCTGTGTTGAACATACAAAACACTGACCAGAAATGTTTTGTATGGTCGGTTTTAGCCGCCTTTCACCCAGTTCCCCGAACTCAGAACGCTAACCGAGTTCAGAATTATGAATCTTTCGAGAAGGAATTGGATGTGTCAGGTATAGATTTTCCGATATCTTTGAAACAGGTGTCAAAATTCGAACAACTCAATAATATTTCTATTAATGTTTATGGACTCGAGAAGGGTTATAAACATGATAGGAATATTATTGAAGTTGTTGGTCCTTTGTATTTTACTAGATCTCATAAGGCAGATAGACATGTGAATTTGTTATTAATCAGTGATGATTCTGGCAATAATCATTACTGTTTATTAAGAAATATGTCTCGCCTAATCTCCAACCAACTTTCAGGCAAACAACATTCAAAATTCTTATGCGATGGTTGCTTAGTTTATTTTTCTTCAGATATTAAATTAGAAAATCATCAAAAAATAGGATTGTGGTCATGTTGTAGTTGAAACTCCTTCGATAATTTAAAGAAAAATAAATATGGTGAAAATATTCCCGAGAATATCCTTAAATTTACGAATTTCGAACGAAAATTAAAAGTGCCTTTTGTTGTATACGCTGATTTTGAAACTATTTTGGAACCTATACAAACAGAGCAAAACGAGTTGGATCCTGAAATTTCCTATACGGTGAAAACACACCAACACGTTCCTTATTCTTTTGCCTATTACATTAAATGCGATTTTGATAATTCTCAGTCGATTTTCAAGACTTTTAGAGGACCTGATGCACATAAAGTTTTCATAGATTGGTTAGAGACTGATTGTAAATCAATCTACAATCGATTTATGAAAAATATTGTATCCATGCCTTCTCTCAGTAGCGTACAAGAAGCTGAGTTTTATCAGATGACGCATTGTCATATTTGCGGAAGACCATTTAATGTAGAAGATGAAAGAGTAAGGGACCACTGTCATCTAACAGGAAATTATCGAGGTGTGGCTCACTCTGTTTGTAACCTAAATTTTAACGTACCTAACTTTATTCCTGTGTTCTTCCACAACATGTCAAATTTTGACAGTCATCTTTTTATAAAAGAATTGGCTGTGGAGGAAGAACGATTGGACGTCATTCCCCAAAACAAAGAAAGATATATTTCTTTTACTAAATATATTATGGTGGGGGATGACGACGATCAGGAAAAGCGACAACAAAAGATATTTTTAAAATTAAGATTTTTGGACTGTTCCCGTTTCATGGCATCCAGCTTGGATAAGTTAAGTCAAAATTTAACATCTCAACAGTGTCGCGAAGTTAGGAAGTATTTCCCTAACGAAGAAGAAATTAAGGTTATTCGTATGAAGGGTGTTTTCCCATATTCGTACGTAGATTCCTTTTCCAAATTAGACGATACCAAGCTTCCACCCATTGATGGCTTCTATAACGAACTTAGAAAAGAAGCCATCAAACAAGGAGATTACGAGCGTGCATTGAACGTATGGAATTTATTTAAATGTCAAATTTAGGCGAATATTCAGATATATATTTAAAATCCGACGTACTATTATTAACTGATGTTTTGAGAATTTTAGAGAGGTGTGCCTATTAACATACGGTCTAGATCCTTGTCAATACTTCACCGCACCATCTCTGTCCTTTTGACGCAGCTTTAAAAACTACATCTATCGAGCTGGAATTATTGACAGATCTAGACATGATACATTTCTTTAAACACGGGATTCGCGGCGGTGTCAGTCAATGTAGTGTTAGAAAAGCTATCGCGAATAATAAATTTATGTCTATATACGACGCTTCCAAACCTACTTCCTATATTATGTACTTGGATGCTACCAATTTATATGGAGCAGCCATGTCACAATATCTACCAACAGGTGACTTTACGTGGCTAACAGAAGAAGAAATTTCAAACTTAAATTTTATGAATATCGATAAAAATTCTAATATAGGTTATGTTTTTGAAGCCGATTTAGAGTATCCCGAGCATTTACATGATTTGCACAACGAATTACCCTTTTGCCCAGAGTCTGTTCAACCAGAGGGATCTAAAGTTTCAAAATTAATACATAATTTTAATTCTAAAGTTAGATATGTAATTCATTATCAAAATATACAACAAGCGTTGAACCATGGCCTGAAACTTGCCAAAATTCATCGCATTTTATCCTTTAACCAATCTCCCTGGTTGAAAACCTACATTGATCTAAATACAGCAAAGCGTAATAACGCTGAAAATAAGTTTGAAAAAGATTTTTTCAAACTTATGAATAACGCTGTATTTGGAAAAACAATGGAGAACGTGGAGAAACGGGTAAATATTAAGTTAGTTACCCACTGGGAAAATATTGGTAGAAAGCTAGGAGCAGAAGCGTACATTTCCAAACCGCATTTTAAAGACTTGACGATTTTTAGCGAGAATTTAGCCGCAATACATATGGCTAAACAGAAAATCGTATATAATAAACCTATTTACGTAGGCTTTTCAATTTTGGAAATTTCCAAAACTATTATGTATGATTTTTTGTATAGCTATATTAAACCAAAGTACGGTAATAAAGCTTCACTGCTCTACACTGACACCGATTCTCTAATTTTACAAATTCAAAACCGACAATTTTTATGATGACATGCGCGAAAAAATTTAGATAGACTGATACATCAAATTACTGCAAAAACAACTCCACATAATATTCCTGTAAATTCGTCTGTGTTGGGCCGTATGAAGGGATGAATATGCAGGAAAATTTTGTGGGAGTTTTATGGAACTGGGGCTAAAGCATATTGTGTAAATGTGGATGGTGAGTTAACGAAAAAGGCCAAAGGCGTGCCTGACTACATCACCAGACAAGATATTAGTTCGAATGATTATAAAAACACGGTCGATGTAGCAGGTACGAAAATCTATCGCTCGATAAACACTTTCCGTTCACATTTACACAATATGTATGTAGAGCTAAAAAATAAGATAGTCTTATCCTACGCGGACGATAAGAGATTTCTTATTCCCAATTCCCAGTACACGCTCGCATGGGGCTGTAATTCTTCAAATTCTAGCTTCACATCTATCACATTACTTTTCAGAGCCTCGTTTTGTTTTGAACAATCGATTACAAATAGGGCTCGACTGGCAAAGGCGGCAAAATCTAGCAAAGGTTCGCTATTGATCTTTCCCAAATACGATTTTTGAAAATCCGTATACATAGAATAGGCTTTAGTAAACTGTCTAGTGTTGAAATTTAAATCTAGGGATTCATATGGGTAGGCCTCGGAATTTAGATAAAGCTTGACATCTGTAATTTTCAAATTATCGAAATATGTGCCATTAGCTTTATAGTTATCTTTTCGATCTTCTTGGAAGAATACACAATATATCTCGCTCGTTCAGATGCTGCCTTCACTGTCCATACATCTTTTCTCGCTTGTCGTAGAGCAGGTAGTTCATGAATTTCCCATTTCCTAAATCCAATAAATATCGGTTTGTCCTGGAAATTGCTTCAAACAATTTTAATTTCACAGAATCGTTCGGGTAGATATGTTTTACTCTTTAACTCGATATTCAAAATGTTGATGTCTGCTTTCTTGTTTCCCTCTGAATTAACATAACAATTATCATCCTTTTTGGCACGTACAAGCTTTAATTTCTGCGTTCCCATAATAGCGCTAGTATAATCGGAGAAGACGTTCAATAGGAAATTCAATGGTATTAGGAGACTGAAATTATCCGTTTGTGGCTCATATGATTTCACAGTACCGCTAGGCCAATTCCATCCCGCCACATCAAGGGCAGTACTTTCATTTTGATTGAGACACAAAAGACTTTTAACGGTACTTATAAGCCCTGGATCTCGTACTTTATCGATTACTTTTCCATTCAATTCATTATAGAAATGCTCGATTCAAATAGAAATGCTCCAACGTTATTTGTCAGGGAACATTTTCCTGTTTTCACAACTGTTGATACTTCTTCCAGAAATTTGGCCTCAATGTATAATTCAGCCTGGCTAATATCCATAAACACATCCTGCTGATTAATACACAATTTCTATCTCATCGCTGTTCTTAAATGATTTGGTGAACGGGTGATACGTATGCCATTCTTCTCGAGCAATGGATTCATCTACGTTGACAGGTTGGAATATTTGTAGTTTTTCTGATACGGAGTCCATATTTACTGATAATATGGTGAAGCTGAAGTATGCTCTTGGACGTGAGCGTCTGCTTCGGCGTACAAGTACTAACTGATTGATTGCTCTGTGATCTGGTATTTAAATAGTAAGGTTTAAAAGTTAAACCCATTCTTCTTAAGCTCCAAACGTATAACAATGTCTTCACCTCTAAAGTTGACCGGTCTTGATTCCTGATCTAATATATCCAATATAATGTTATCAATAAAATTTCTATTTACTGGAAGATCTAGCCAGAATCTATGCTTGGACTAAACTCGTACAGTGTATGAGATGGATTATTAATGTAATACGATCCAGATATGATATTGCACTCGATACGTATTGTTACTACAGGAAAAATTTCCACAGGTATATCTGATGTATGCAATTTGTTGGCAGCT